CAGTTATAATTACAACTCACTTGTATTTATATGCTGCAAGCCATTGGAACATGATTAAAGATAAGTGATCATCATAAGAACCACAAGTGGTTTCTCTTTACTAAACCAATAAGTGATACATTAGCAATCCTCATTTCACGCAATGAAAATCCACAAGACGCAAAAAATTTGTGATTACATAATTATAATGCGATCGAATTATACAACCCTGTCTGTTAGCTCAACAAGTGATGAATGCAGTTTGGGGGGGGGGTAAAACATTGTAGCAAAAGGTCAGCTTGCTACCATTCCAAGTTGGTAGCTTATCAGACATCCAAAATAAGAGTGAAAGTTCTGGGCTAGCGCATATCTGTTCAAGAAACGCACTTGGCTAAAGGACCTGCGACAATGTATTATTAACAGTTTAATTGAAACCAAGGATAAACAGCAGCAGAGTTCCCGAAAATTTGATATTTACATCTTGTCACTCTTGGTGATTCCCAATACCCGCGATGGGTCAAAAACTTTTTATTGTGATAAGCGAGACGATGCGATTTAACATGCCATTATCAAGATAAATACACAATATCACACAGATTCAATAATCGTTATAAACATCTGAAATTGTCAAAATTCATATATATATGAGACATTGTGCTGGCACAAATCTATGGTCGCAACATATACGTCTGAGACCAAAGATCTCATATACATAAAATAAATATTTTATGCTAACCCCTATACCTCTATATGTGTGGTCCTGTCATTTGTAACCCTGCAACAGTAACATGAAATTAGCACCGGCCCCAACCGCCATAACGGGAAATTATCGAGGGCTTGGTAACATTGAACACACCGGCCATCCGGAGGTCGGAGTTGTCAGCATTATGCTAGAGAGTATACTAGCATTTTATATTTATAATTATAGCATTTAAACGAGCAAATAGACCTCACATTCGTTTATCTACTTGATCTGCAATCACTTTCCGGACATGATTCCATCCGATCTGCATAATATAGTCCGTTCAACAGCTACTACGTTGATGCCGGCACACTACAACACTTTTTCGAGGAGCACAACAACCAAGAGACATTTATCGCACGCTTTGACGGCTAACCGTTGTATTCAAATAGAAAGAGCGGCCACTAACTTTTAGCGATCAACCATGATGTTAGACAATGCCGAGCTGCCGAAGAGAGCGAGTTTTCTCATCAGATACAACGAAGTAAAACGCCAATGTGCAAAAGACATGCCCGAGACATGGAATAACATGGACCAGGACAAGTGCGAGAACAAGACCATCCATGCCCGACCCTCCAATCCTGTCTATATAGGTTGGCCATGCTCTATACAGCTGTTCAACGGAATTGTTTTCATCTCTTTCTCAGTGCAGGTCCATTGAGCTGATAATTGCTATGATATAAATAATGTTGGGTTCATAGTTTGTTCATGGTGAGTGTAGGATTCGGTCTGTGAATACATACAATACATTTACATTTTACAAAGACAGGATTCCTGTTGGATAAAAATGAACACAGCCCATATAATTATTGACCTCCAGGCTGCAAGTAGCCGAAGGCATGGAGCCTCGATAAGTCAAGTGGACACAGCACACTTTTGGGTGCTGCGACCCATGATATCCTTGGCTGGCTTGCACACGTCTAGCTATATGGTCCGTCCATCGGATTAGGAGACTCTGCGACGTATAATAAATATAGAACCTATGCAGCATAAACATGCTAAATCCCTCCAAAAACCCTATTGTCAAACTAGTATGGGGTCGCTAGTCGCTACGAGTACTTCTACTTCTACTTCTACTCTATATTTAGCCACGCATCAACCAGCCTGATGAATTCTGCCAAACGGCTATACAGCGCATGGGTTGACTAGC